CCCTTTGTGATACTGGTATATCTAATATACAGAAAAGTCTCCCGTAGTTTTAAAACATACAAAATGTCACTTTATGTTTTGAGTTAAATTGTAAATTAATAAAATTCGTTAATTTTAACGGAATCCGATAAACTTAACGAAATTCGACAAAGTTTAACAGTCGAGACCGTCATTTCCGTTAAATTTAACGAATTCTATTAGTTTATAATTTAGTTCAAGCATGAGATATCGTTTTGTATGTTTTGAAATTATAGGGGATTTTTCTGTGTATTAGATATATCACGGGGAATATTTTTGTTTTTAATCCAATATAATATGACAAAAAGGATATGAAGAAGTCTAAGGCACTGCATGCTAAGCAAGACTGGGACGTAGACTTTATGCATGTAATGTAATCCAGATAGCATATACGTGGTGCGTTATACCATATGAAGATCTTAATCATAACGATCAACAATTATTTTGTTCTCGTTTTTCTTTTCCCCTCTTTTGCTTGAATACGACGAAAAAGGTTCGAAAACATTATACTACTTGGGGAAACAAATGGAGGACTCAGGACTGCTCATTTCATTTCATGGGAATTGTCCTTCTTGTTTTCAACACGGCCATCTGTTCCGGCCATCATGGCATACTTGTCTTTCCTGGTCAAGCTAGTGCACTCGAAGCCTAGCGTGCCGGCGAGCACCCTTTGGATGTAGTTGGCAACTTCAATAGCAGATTTTCCACCACCTCGGCGAGTCAGTTCCGGGGGCAGTTGATTCAAGAAGGCGATCTCGTAGGTGGGCCTGGGATTCATGAAAACGAAGTACGGATCCAAAAACTTGTGCCCACGCACAGTTGTCCCATAAAATACGGACTGTTTCGTGTTAATGGCGACGGGGACAATTCTGTCTGTCAGCTCGGCAAAGAGTGCGCTAAATCTCAACAGAAATGGCTCCCTGCACGTAGTCCCCTCGGGGCAGATAACCAAGTCACCTTCTTGAAGCAAACGCTTGATGTTCTCTGCATCCTTTTCTCGTTCTCGAGATAATGCCACGGCTTTGATCGGTGAAATGAGTTCTGAGAATTTACTTATGCTGTATGTCACGCAACTGATCTTCCTTCTCAGTGCCACCGCCGTAACAACGGGGTCCAGGATCGTGCGGTGGTTGCAGACGAATAGGACCCCGCTATTGCCTTCCTTCGGAGGTGGGGGTGGGTTGCCCTTCACAACGAGTTTGATTCCCAGAATCATGTAGTTGTACCGAACAATTCTTTCGGGCAGGGGAATGTTGAGGTAAACGCGAAGGATGGAGAGGACAATCCCAATCGGCATCCACAAGAAGGTCAACAGGGCCACAAGAGGTGTAGGCCTTTGTACCAGACGACCTTCGTGAAAAATGACTGGGCTTAGCAGCTTATTTCTTGGCAGGGGTTCGCATTTTGCTCCTGGTACCATGTAACCTTCCTGCACGATCAGTACAGATGTAATTCTTCATGCAAAACCCCCCAAAAAAAAAAGAAAAATCTTTATGCATATATGTCAGTATCTGCATGGAAAACTGCCTGTCACCCAAGAGCCAAAAAAAAAGATGAAGAAGAAGAACTGCCTATCACCAAATATTGCATTTATTATTCTTCCAAGTTTTATTTTTTCATGAATTTTATTTGAGATAAGACAGGGGAGTTTGTTACGAGAGTACAGCGCCGGCAGCTGTAACATTCTAATCAGAAGCGGATATCATATCTACTCTGGTACTTAGTAGCGTCCAAGCAATGAATAGCATTGACTCTTGCCAGATTGGACCTTCCTGGAACGTGCTATTTATTGAGAAAATGAAGGGCCCATGTCCTTTTTTTTTTTTTTTAAATGGTCGCAGTAATAGGTACAATTAAAAATGGTTGCAATAATAGTTACAATTAAAAACTTAGAGCCACGCTGTCCTCTTCCCATGTCAATACAATTGCTTGATGCCTTCGTTATTTATATTTTTCCTAAAATATGCACACTCATATGCCTCACCCACTAGTATATATAAAGTATGAGGCATGATTTTGGTGTTAAAATATTTTTTTATTTCTTTATTTTACTCTCATAAAAAATAAAAATATACTAAAGATCGATAACTTCTAAACTCCATAACTTCCACTATTTTCAATAACTTCTTTTTTTTTTGTTTTTACAACAAAAAAAATTCTAATAAACTTTCATTTGTTTGAATAAAAAAACTTAATTTTTTTAACTGAATTTGCATACTCATAAGGCGCGTGCATCTCCCATTAGTATTTAATATTTGAGTTCATCTACAAAAACAATTAAAGATGATGGCATGCATGAGTACGTAATAGACACAAATGTAGGAATTCTTAAAATTAAAGAGGTTGATCATCTTTACTGCAACCATAGCTTTACGGGAGTATAGGTTTACTACTTTTCCAAAAGATGCATGGTGGGTGGATGTGTACCGTGCAGAGTCTCGGGTGTGTGTTCACCTTCTCCTTGAAATACAAATTTCACGCTTTTACAAATTTTCAGGATTTTATAGAAGAAACTCTAGGATTTTCAAGTAATATGAGACGAGAATGCTAACTACAAGGACAATAAAAATTTTTAAAAAAAATTACAATGGCAAACGAGACAAGGAAAAAAAAAAAACTGATCCATACGAAATAGATATTGCAGTTAATCATGATATAGGAACAAATAACAGTAGAAACCAACCCCGTATAAAACTGTTGCCTTCAGCTACAGAAAAAGTGAATCGATAAGCAAAGGCATGGACGCTCATGAGGAGGGAATTATGTATGTGTATATATATTAAAAAAAAAACAATCAAAGTATCGGGAAAAAAAAAAGAAAAAAGAAGTTGAAGTTTACCTTGCATATGGACATGAAATCATGGTCTGTCTCTCGATCTCCTAGACCTAAATCAGGCACGTCAGTACCAAACTCTTGAATGAGTGCTGCTTTCTTGCGTTCGCCGACAAGGACACCAGGCTTCTTCAAGAATCCCGTAGCACGTCCAGATTTTGACACTTGCAGCTCTGTCCCCAGAACCTTGTCGGCCCCAAGGAAATTCTTGGCAAAAGGTTCCACCATGATTCTGGGAGTTGCGGTTATAATGTATCTCCTTCCAAAAGCATTGAACACCCTCCAGGTCTCGGGGTGAACATCTTCCGCATAAAACTTGGGCAATACGGACTTCGAAACGAGTTCGATATCCCGCAGTTTGAGTCCAGCAAGGGCGATGTATGCCCAAGTATGGATGGCTATAGATTCGGATAGGAAAATGTACGTGAAGTACACAAAGGGAACAGAGGCCAGGAGGAGTAATGCCCTTGGAAGGCTGCCGGCTTCCAAAGCAACAAGCATGTAGTAGGGAAAAGCACTTGTGGATACCAAAAGGGTGCCATCTAGGTCTGCTGCCACGGTCTGATTCGACCGTCCCTCCGAGCTACATTTCGAGATTGGTTCAAAGTGCGGATGAGCACCCATTGATCAGAGCGTGGGAGAGGATATGTATATGACAGTGTAATTACGATGAGATGGATGGAGTGGGATCTTAGTAGTTGTACTACATATATGTGTTCCAAGTTTCTTGCTGTTTTTTTCTATCGCTATGTACAAATAGATGCCGTGGGAGGAGGTGAAGAGGAGGGAGACCGGGGGGGTTTAAAAAGAAAGGAGAAAGTGGGGAGGGACACGAATATGAAGCATAGCTGCTACTAGTCTACACGTTAAGTATTTGCGGAGTGGTCTTTACCACCAAAATTTTGTGTGGCTGAGAAGGCAAGCCAGGAGTGGAGGGAGGAAGAATTATTACATTGGTCAGAATAATGGTAGTATTTGTTATTGAGAATTTGAGAAAAATACAAGTATAGATACCATAGAGACGGAGGGAAGGGGGATTGATTTCCTAAGCTTAAATTAGGGCGGTTGTGAAGACGGGTCGGGGTGGTTGGAAAGTCCAAACCCAACGCCAACGTTAACAATCAATTAGCCTACTTTATAGTTTTTAGCTGCCGTCTTCGCCGCGCCATTATAATTTCAGCCGCCGTGACTCCCCATTCCCCTCAACTTGGCTAAAAGGTCTTTTCTTCTTCTCGAGGTTTGATCAAGTTATAGAACGAACCTTATAGTTTAACTAAATTATAGTTATCCTTTTATGAGCGATGATGTCCAAACCCAATTAACTAAAATACGAAACGACAAAGTCACTTGGATCCTCGGTGACATGTTTTCTATACCAATTCAATATCATCTACAGTATTGCACCAAATGTCTTGTTATTATTTATCATTTAATTTTCTAATAATTCAACTTAGTTTGGTTTAATACAGGTGTAAATAATAACATGACACTTGGCGTAATATTATAGATGGCATTGAATTCGCATAAAAAACATGTCACCGAGAATCTCAAGTTTAACAAAGCAACCCTTTGCAATAAAATTACAGTTATCTTCCTTTTTTTTTTTTTTTTTTGTTTATTTCTTTCTTTGTTTTTTCACCACGGTATCAGTTACCACCTCCATATGGGCCTACCACTTCCGTCTCCCCTTTTGACTGAAAACAATCGCTGAATTTTGGTACAGCAGTAGTATGTATGTATCTGGTTCTGGTCTCATTTTAAAACTCTCTAAGCCAGGGTCCCACTGTCCCGTACGTTTTTTCAGGTTAATTCATATTTGCCTCGTACCATGACAGCTGAAAATGTGAACGGCAGACATTCCTACTTCACTTTATGTTGTGGCTTTTTCTGCTTCTGCATCCGTTACAGAGTACATAATTTGGGCACCACAGGATTGGTGATTTGCTTATATGACTGGTGAAGACTGAAGAGGAGGAGCAGAAGAAAATTATTACAGGATCTGCTTGAACTGAAAGCCTTCTTGGTCACCACGGTCAATTTGGTTGAACCAACCAAGGCGAGCATGTGGGCATGGTATTGGTAGGAAAAGATCATTTCCCCCAACGCCTGATGTATTGCTAGCATAAGAGTAGTATGGTATGACCAAAGGGGAAAAAGTGTAAAACGGAAGTCCCAGAACCATCTCTTTCTCTTGGTCTTGCTTACCTTTTCTTTTTCCGTCTCCTCAATAAATAATCAGCAACTGCCTTTTCTCTGTCTTCCTGCTCTTTCTGTCTCTCTCTCTCTCTCTCTCTCCTCGTCGAGCGATCCATGTCAATCGGGAACATGAATAAGAGAGTTGGTTTCAGCCCTGATGTCAACGATAAGCAACCGGTAATCAGGAAGCAGTACTCTAACAAAGAACGCTCTGGATACGGCAGTATTAAAGTTAGCGGGGGGAGCAAGGAGAGAGTCCATGCTGCTACTCAGGGGACCTGGACTAGTTTCAGAGTTCCCGAAAGCTCTTCGTCATCAGGATTCTCAGCCGTGAGATTTGCAAAGCGCGTTGGAGCCAACGTTGCCCAGGCTCTTCGTTTCATCTCCTGCCGGAAGAAGTGTTCGTGCAAAGTGTCTTCGGCGGCTAGTTTAACTTTAGCAAGATCACGGTCCTATGCAGAGACACTTGATGATTCTCAGCGGGCTGAAGCTATTGAGGACTGCATTGAGTTCTTGAATTCATCATCCTCCTTGCAAAGATCCAATTCAGTTGCAAGCTCTTGCTAAATACTTTTGTCTGCTTTAATTGCGCGCGCTCTAGTATTGTGGATGAAACTGATTTGTTTGAATGAGTAGGAAAGCTGCCCGTTTTACCAGTTACCACCTGAAAAGGGTTAATGTATAGAAAAACCAGGACATAGTCATAGAAAGATCATCCTCACATCGACTAGTGCCAATTCCAGTGTTCTTGTTGTAAACAGATTTTCCAGCTAGAAATGGCTCAGATGATGGTTCGTTTGCGCACAGGCCACAGGTAACGAGCTAGAGCCTAGAGGTAGGAGGTAGGAGGTAGGAGATATATTTGTCAGATACATACGTGCATTTACTGAAAACCATGATTGTCATCAGGCGAACTTTCCTCTGCTTTTGTCTTATAAATTCTTCGTCTTTGATGAAACCTTTTCCCAGATTTTAATGCTTATTTGTTCATCTTTCACCTTAAATGTACGGATAAACCCCATATCTAGGCCAATTGAGATCCTCCATTTTCTTCTTAGTGGTAACTCAGTGCCGCTCGTAAAATTATATTAAGTATCTAATTAATTTAAATTATCACGTAATATTTAATTTCAACTTAAATTAATTGAACACTTTCATCGAATGAAAGAGTGACACCTAATGAGCTGACGCTGATTAAGTGGCACCGAGCATCTAATTTGTATCTAGGCAGCTTTGATGAATATTTGCATCCGGTGGGGAATGCAAACATTCCTCCGGAGCAACTTTCTCAGGAGTCCCCTAAGCTGTCTCATATTCAGCAATAATTTAGTCCAGTTGCCCAGACACATATCCTCCATATATTCATCCCAAAAGGAAAAGGAATCACTCGATTGCTGCAATTGCCTATCCCACGGCTGGTACGTCGGTTAATCTTCGCTATGTTCCTCGTTACTCTTTAGTTGTAGGATGCCTTCAGTAAAGGTCAAGACTGCAATTTACAAATCCATTCTGGGAAATGCGGCAGCCCACTGACGATGACAAATCTGGTCCGGTTAAAAATTGACGTATCACTGGTGGTATTAAATTATTAGTTTTAGCTATTGAAAAGTTAAACTGGAAAATCGAATCAACCTTCTGAGTCCCGACCCAGCAGAAGAAAAAGAAATAATCAAATAAATCATCCGCAGCCAGTCAAAATTAAAAAGGGAGAAGAACTAAACAAACCCATATTTCACCATTTACCCACTACCACCATACTTGCCAATACCTCGATAAACAATCTCAAACCGATGCGCATCTTACTGACTTTTGTTTAGACTCTGAAGCAGGAATACGTATAATTTCCAACAGAAGTCTTCAATTATCTCGCTGCAGTAGACACATCTCCAGATCAAAACAGTACTTTTTTTTTGGGAGGGGGGCAAAAAAATTGAGCTTACACAAGAATTCCGTAAATTCCTATAACCTACTTGTTAAACAAGTTTGAGTTTAACAGTCATGCATCACGTTGAGTTTCTCCATGTCTCGAATTCCCTGACTTAAAGCTTTCTTCATGTCAAGCGCTCTCTTGTATGGTGGTGCTATGGGAGGTTGTACAGGATCCAAACTCCGATACTTTCCATCTGCAACTTTGGGAAGTGGATAAGAACGATCCGAGTCGTACCCATTTAGGTCTCCACATGCCAGAAACGGGATGTACACCTTGTTTGGACCTTCCAACCATCCACTGCTGCAATCTGTAAAGCAACATGCATTAATAAAAGAATCTGTAATACCCACAAAATCGCATTTGCAACCAGCATTTCCATCTAGGGCCGAGACAAGGGGATGTTTAAGGAGGCATCTACTATTCCTGAAACAATAGAGAGTTTGCCACAAGGAATAACGTCCTTCAGCCCGCTTTCAGTTAAAAGCACCCCAACTACATTTAGAGTAACAAAACTAGCAGCAACATATGGAAAAGAACAAGACGAAAATATTCACTCCCACACACACAGATCCACAAATGCCCAAGTGCACACAAATGGCCAAGCCAATTGATTATATACTCTTTTTTTTTTTTTTTTTCATTTTGAGCAATTGATTTGATACAGGAGCTCTGTAACAGCTCAAGTACATGTACACAGACAGAATAGTAAGCAAAAATGGTTATGTTAATCAAGTCATGATTACCTAGATCATCCGCACCAGATGGACTCCCAACCTTTTCAAGGAGGCGATGCAGATCCTTCTCATTAAATCCTTCAGGAGGAGAGTAATTCTCACAAACAGCAAATGCCTCTGCGTTCAACCAAACACAAGCACAATTCAGTTCTTTTCTTCACACAGCTTTTGTCTTGTGAATTTAACCTCATAAATACTACCTTCCCTGTAACCGTTGATTGCTTGGACAACACTTAATAACTGATAAACCACCAAATCTTAAGATACATGACAAAACCCACATAATGAAAGGTCCCAAAAAATCACAAGGACCATAAAAGTTGACAGCACGAATGTTTGCCAGAGAACATATATTGGAAGGCTAACTGTTTGAAATTCTAACCAAATGGTATAGTTTATCAAGCTACAGCTTATATTGTCTATAAAGCTTGTGACGATATTTTCACAAAATATTTGAAAGTTATCTGCTCTCACCAACAGTGATCATAACTCTATGGTGGTACATGCTGATACAGAATATCAAAGAAATACAAAAGAACAAAGTTAAATATCTACCTATACTTGAGTTCCGGCTACTTTTTGGTTTTGCAAAGGTCACTTCAGTGAAAAAAAGTTTTAACTGACAATAGAGCAGGCTTGTGTCCTTTCCTCGAAATATCTTGGCAATGAACTTTCCACCTTCCTTCAGTATGTGGGTTACAATTGTCAGACCCTGCAAACAAGTTTTGACACCTCTTGTTGTCACTGTGAACACAAAGTGAGAAACAAAAGAAAAAGAGAAAAGCATCTGCAAATATCCACAAATAATGGTCAAAACAACTAATTGTTAGTATAGTAATACAACAAACCAAAGTTTCAAAATTTTTCAGTAAGGATAAAAGTAAAGATCCATAGTCTGGAAAAGCAATTCAAGACTAACTGCAAGTATGAGTTGAGACTGAACGAATTCATCCATGTCGTGAAGACCAGTAACTGCAACATATGAAACAGAACACTTAGATATATGACAATACACGACATAGCAAAGAAGACAGCAGCCCACAAGTTAAAATTGCTTTTTTATGCTCACCATCAGGGGCACCATCACAGACAACCAGGTCAGCTTTGCATCCATCAAAATGTCTGATAACCTAAAGAGAAAAAATAAATGTTGTTGGTGATGCCTGCCTACCTTAACTCTCTTCATAAATAATATAACAAAGGATCAGATGCTAGCATTCAAAGAGACTGAATAAACACATCTTGCCGTGAATGGACAATGACAGCAAGCAAGAAAAAATTGACTCTCTATTCAATTAAAATTATAAAAACACATTTATTTAAGACAACTGTGAAGTTAACACAACCAGAAAGGGGTGGACAGAGGATTAGAATATTAATCCAGGTCACAGGTGTATTTACTTGAGAAGACTCTGAACTTAACACTGTCGGAAGGAGATCAAAGAGGAGATCTGTAATGACAAGATGTGGACTTTCTTGGCATGTTCAGATATCATTTTCAATCAATGGTCAAACATACACAAGATAAGAAGCCAGTGCACAAAATTATACCACTTCAGCTGTTCTTGCATTTGTTATATCACCCTGAACTTGAATAACACCCTCGATTGGAGCCATAGGCTGCAAATCAATTGCCACAATAAGTGGAAGGTCGCTATCCCTACCAATTATAACTTGAATATGGTTAATATGCAGCAGGGAAGCACCATAACTGGGAAAATGCTAACGAAAGCTCATACAGAAAATTAAGCAAAAAGTAAAATACTTTACGCCACAGGCAGTTTGAAGCTAGCAAATCTGTGATTAGATTCTACTCCTACACATAACATTCTCTATCTCTATAATCTGCAAATTTAATTGTTCATATTCCTTGAACTAAATAATGCAGTCTTTCAAATTCCATGTGATCCCAATGCAATACTGCCAATAATGCAAAAAACAACAGATAAGATCTTTCCTATTTCATCAGCTGCCTTCCTTCCAAGTATGCAAGTCTGAAAAATTAATCAACAGCTAATATTCAAATAGCTCAGAAGCATCAAGATATAGATTGCCAAGATTATGGGCCATTAGAAAACTCAAGTCTTTTGTAAAATAGATTTATAAAAAAACAACTTGAAAATGAAGGAAAACTTTGTTAAGGGAGATAAATTTGTAATAAAACAACACCAATGTACAGCATGAATAAATGAAGGAAAATTGACGGTTGGTAGCAAACTAGCAATACAGGTTTTAACATGATTCTCAGAAAAATATGTTAAGACAGAACATCAAAAGTGAAGTTGTGGGAGGCAGCGGTCATGGCAGCTATACTAGAGGGAACTAAACAAGCACACATACTTTGCATTAGGATCCAGCTTGACAGGGAGGTACAATTTGCGACTCAAAACCTGTGCAGAAGATAGAAAACAACTGAAACATAAGAGAATGGCGCATCAGCAATCAATTGAAGATTAAGGCGAAAATATACTCTGCTTAGAAATCTATTTTGTCTCCCATGTAGTCAATTTCTCCTATCTTCATTTCATTTAAGGGTATGTAACATGTATAATCGTGGTCCAGCAAGAAGCAACAAAAGCTTTCCAGGTTAAAACAATGTCAACAAGGTTAAAAGAATAGAGCCGATATTACAGGAAGTAATATTATGAACTCCAGAAGTGACGCTGACTCCAACCATTCAGTATAATTTGCTTGTGGGAAGCAAAATGCAACTAACTACTGAAATGAGATCTATTATATCTCTGATTACAGATTCTTATTCACATTTAATTAGTTATCCTATAAAGATCGAAAAACATTTACATAGGGTTGAGTGAAACAAACCTTTTTGCAGGTATAAAAATCTAACTTAACGGAAGATAGATAAAACCACAGTGTGGTGTTATGTGTATTTATATGCAGGAACTGACCTAATCATCTACTTTTCTAGAAACAATGAATAAGCAACCAATACCTGACTCCAGCTACCAGGAGCTGCACATAAATCAACCACACGCCTCACTCCTACAAGGAATTTAAAAAAAAAAAAAAATTATCAGCAATTGATGATTATGAGAAAGGCAGTCTTGCTCTGACATTAAACTTGAAGATGCAGCAGCAACAGCAGAACCTTCAAAAATGTTGAATTCTTCATCAATCTGGAGGAGCTTGAAGGCACTTCGAGCACGCCATCCTTCCTCCTTCGCTTTCCGATAGTAGATATCCTGTGAGTGAGTGAGAGATCAAATAGGGAAAGGGACGATACTGCTACATGCTCAATGTAGCCAACCAAAAAAAAAAAGAGAAGCAAAATCTAGCAAGTCAGGAGATCAAAACCCGTTTATCTCTTGAAGCCTTTCCCATTTCTCAGAAAAAAGGAAAGAAAAAGGGAAAACTCCTGCTTGTTCTGTGGAAATAAACTGGTAGATAGGTGGATTCCCTCGGCTGGTTGGGGACACCAGAGAGGGGCGAAACAACGGCGGTTAGGGAGACCCAGAGGCCGGCGTCCTAAGGAGATTTTGGTTGGCGGTACAGATGCGAGTGCGAGGACCAGACTTGCCTCTAATTGGGCTTTTTCCCAATTAAAATTATTTTAAAAAAAATTCCTTTTTGAGGTCTTGGTTATAATTTCCATGCACTAATTAACCCGCACAACGTCAGAATTGTAATTTGAATGGCCCGTTTTTAATTGTTGTTGGGCTCCAGTTCATTACCCAATGGGCCGCCTATTCCATTTACCTTTTTTTTTTTTAAACCTGCTCCGGAGCTGGGGCCTGGAAGCAAAGAAATTGGAAAAAAAAAGAAAAGAAAAGTCCTATTCCATTTAACTTTTTTTTTTGGATTAATTTTTTCTACGCTGACAATAATATATACATTATCAGTGTTAAATGAATGATAATTATGCAAAATTTGAATTTAAAATTCAGCTTTTGCACATATGTAATAAATCAAACGGTGATTATGTATACATTGTCAGTGTATAGGATTTACTCTTTTTTTTTTTTTTTTTTTTACGCAGGAAGCAAGAGCAAGAGAACAGAGAGCAAGAACGAAAAAAGTCTTCAAACGAATATAGTACAGTACATACAATCAATCATCTAACAACAGCAGCAACAACAACTAGAATCCTCGGAATCATCTTGGTCTTGTGCATCTGTACTCCTCCAGGCATACCAAAACCTCATTACCACATACATGACGAGGTTTATGGCGCAGAGGCAGCACAGAAACCAGTAGTAATTATCGAGCCTACTCTTATTGAGGGTATCCTGGAACCAACTCGGCATTCCTCCCCTTTCACTCACCTTACCCACTGCGTAGACCGAAAGTATACTGCCTATGCATCCCAGCCCATGCACAACACAGCCAAAAAGGAGCATGTACCTGTTCAAGGCGGGAGTGAAATAAAGATCGAAGAAAGCAGCTGCACTGATTTCAAACATGCCCTCTACAGCACCAAGGAGGATAAACTGAGGAAGTAACCAGAAGACGGACAAAGGAATTCTCTCATCGGGCTTATCCAGTAAACCATGGCTTTTAACCACATGAAGCCTATGGGATTCGACCTTTGCAGCAGTAACACAGCATAGTGCACCTAGTACCATTGATACCATAATTCCAATTACGGGAGCCACAGTTCGAGTATTAAATCCACAAAACAACCCGGAAACACCGAAGTACAATGCTGGAAAATACATTTTTGCTTGAATATAGAACCAAAAAAAGATTGTTAATGGTATTGTAAGGCTTCCAACCTTGTGGTTCATATTTTTTGCTTGCTCAATAAAGTAGGTATACCCTAGTGAAGACAGCAAACCCAAAAAAATAAAAGATATTGCCATCGGAATCAAGTCTATTATGAGTTTGGTAGCTTCGACTTCTGTGACGGTGCAAAGCCTCCATCTATTATTTTGTTGTTGTTCCAATGACTGATCCGGCAGTACAAGCGCAGCCTTGTCTAGGCACCTGCATCTCAGGAAGCCATGCATGTGAGGAAAAGCTATCTAAATTGATAGCTTAACAATGCAATTTCCATGTGCTATCATTCTTAAAAGGCAAAAGTAAACAAACTTTTTGGATCAGATTTCACAGCCAAAATGCCGTTTTCTGCACTGACTTGAACATGGTGGTAACATCAAAACAGGCAACTTGCTAAAGAACAATCGACTAAACCATCAATTTGGTTGCTGGCTTTTTTACTTTCTAAAAGCTTAAAAACATGAAAGAAACCAAAAAAGATATGAAACTAAATCAGCCATTATTGAGGATCTCTGATATCAATAATCTTCACTTTTATGTGAAACATATCATCATTTTTCTTATTCTTTTTGGTAGTAACCTCAACATTAGGAATGAAAGAGGATAAGTGCTTATTCCTTTTTTTTTTTTGGTTTCATTAATACCTTTTGCACTTGACAATGCAATCATGGTATAGAGTAAATATTTTATCATGAAGAGTTAACAAATGGACAAGGACAAGAGGCCAAAACCTGAGAAAACGTGTGCGAGGGAGAGGACAATCACTCATTCCATGGAGCTGATATCTATCCGCTGGGTGTCTTCTGAATAACTTGGATGCAGCAGCTACAAGGACCCTAAGCACCATTGTTAGATGGCTACCTTGGGGTCCAACATATGCATATGTACGAGATCCGCTAAGGAATATTATTGTTGCAACCAGGATACATATGGTTGGAATCCCAAAATGAAGTGACCATGGCTTTATATATGGTAATCCAAGAACTGCAACCACGCTGACAAAAAATGTTACAATATTTCCAATATAAGCAGAGATGATTGATCTGGTGGAGATATTCTCAATGGCATCCATTAATTGTTCACCAAGGAAACTAGCTAAAGAAGTCACATGTCCAGCTGTTCCCACAGCTATTAGAGCTAGTGCAGCGTAAAAGAGTATATGTTGAGTGTCACCAATGCATTCAGGCTCATAGGAACCACATGTTCCGGTAAGCTTAGAAAGTACGGGTGGTGTTGACATTGTCAAGAAGCCCATTCCCTGCTCACAGAATAAGTGTTAGAAGAGGGCTTTTATTTTCTTGTCAGGTGTTCTTCTTGCTTAACAAGAAAAATAGACTATTTACTCGTGACAGGTCAGATGGAAACAGAATCATATATAGCTTGCGGGGGAACATATACAATGTAAAGACGAAGGGTTTTGCAAGGTAAAAAGTGCAAAAGATTTGGAGTGTTTAAAGATGCAATCACCAATTTTGCAAATTGATATAATGAGTATTTAATCAGTGTGATGTAGGAGTAATTCAAGATCCGGTACGTTCACAAGTCGTCAAGAGATACATTGTTTTCAACAAGCTATTTCCATTAACTCTTGACGTAATAGCATGCTTATCCTGATTGTCCCGGACTACTAAGACTAAAAATCCATTCAAGCCATCCTCGAGTAGTTTCTAGTTTCTTATCAACCTGATTATCCTGAATTTGTGGCGAGACAGCACGAAAATAGCAAAAGTCTGACCTGCATTCATTCAAGCCATCCTCGAGTAGTTTCTAGTTTCTTATCAACCTAGCATGCGGCAAAGTTTAATATTGTATTCACTCAGGCTTCAGTTTAATCTTCAATAATAATCCAAGTAAAGATGCAAATACATAGCTCAATCTACAGCAACAGTAATAGCACAAATGAAGACATCTGCAACGCTTCTGATCAGAATACTGTCAAGGTAAATAAAGAAGAATCCGGAAGAGGAAATACCGCGCAATATGCAAGAGAGGAAAACAGGAGCATCCAATAGTTCCCCATTACTGTATCGGCAATGAATTGCATAAATAGGGGCATAATGCCAGTTAGACCCATGTATACATTGATAATGCCAGCAGAGTATGTGAAAGCAAGCTTCCATACATCTGTTAAATAGATCATGAGCATCCACATGGCGTACGCAATTAATATGTCTGCCCATGCCAGAGCTACAAGATTCAAAACACTTCTGATCAGTGGATTTAACACCATCATTCAGACAAAACAATGTCTCTTAATCTCAACATAGCATCCCCAATTTAGTAAAGAGAAACAGGAAAAAAAGGGAGGTGGAATGGCTAAAACCGGTGCTTTATGGATGCTCATTCCCAAATAATAATGAAAACTCTTTTACCAAAGAACTAGGGAAATAGAGGAATCTTTGCAGCGAAATGAAAAATTAGCAAAATCAGCAGATTAATAGTCAAAGGGAAAAGCATAATTACTTTGGATTCTCGTGAACATCGTTTCAGGTGAACTGTTCGTTGCCCCAGGGGAATGCAAATAAATGCAAAACAAATGTAGAAAATGAAAAGCAATATATATCTACAGATAAAGAGAGAAAGGGACGAGGGGGAAAGATGCAGCTGCAATGTGAGAACAAGAAATTGGCTTCTAGCTATGTAAATAAATATCTAGTTAGTTGACCGAGTATAGTGCCAGCCTGCTTAAAAGACAACCCCATGTACGTGTTTTCTGAGTTTGAAACTTGAGCAAAGTCCAACTCTGCAACTCTGGGACAAGATTTCTATAAACTAAAAGGAAGGCCATTGACCTGGAAGCTAGGAGGTAGGGAAAAAATGGAAAAAAAAAAAAACTCAATAAGAAATGCATAAGAAACTTAGCTGTAATTCAAGCGGAAATCTCAGTGACCAACTTGTCAAAGCTCAATAAGAATAAGATGGGGATTGACTATTTCCATAAAATAATTATTGGCACATTCTCTTTGCATTTAACATCCAGTTTCTGAGCAGCTGCGAATAAGCATTAGGTAGAGGTAAACCCCGGTTGCGAAGCCGCCGAGCTACATGTAGCATCGAATGTCAACTAGTCCAGATTTATGCACACAGGTTTATTCGCTGAGTCGAAGATTGAGAGAATCAAGTTACGATGGCCAAAGTCAACCTTGTTCGCAGGACCTAATGATAATCCTTAAATTAAAATGGGAGTGTTTCACGAAAGCGATGGTTCTGTATCACTATCACCCGATTTTCGTCTCATTCCGTAACGTACGTCAACTCTGTCGGTTGACCACTTCCCACGTTGACACTATGAACTCTGATTACACCAAAACTTCCCAGCTCCTGAACAAGGTATGATTATTTTATATTATTTTGTGGAATAGAAATACCATCTCACTCGATGAAAATACTATTTTAATGGCCATTGGACTGAATAGTTATCAAAAATACAAAATAAAAGGAGGTCGGTGTAATTTTTGAAACCTTTAAAGGATGTATCTGAAATTATCCCTAAATCAGGAGTCTAAAATTCGCTAGCATGATACTTCGAAGATCATCTTAACCTTAAGAATTGGTGGTAAAGATGTGATAAACACACCAAGACTTTCGTCAAGTGTTTTTACATCAACCGAATTCTAAAACTTGGTTGCCAAAAGATAGTTAAAGTTTAGGGAGTATTTCCTCCTGTCCCTTTATTTTGAGAAATAAAAAAAAAAAATTGTGCCTTTTCCTTTCTCACTTGAAAACTACTTTACAAAAAAAAAAAAAAAAAAGCAGGAAAAGGTTATGTGTTTGAAGAATCACACTGCTGCTGATTTAATAGACCATCTGTATAATCGAAGTCGAATTTATCCAAACTTTTATCTACCAATTAAAAAAAAAAACTAAGGTGCAACTTTGAAAGTGAAACTTTGAAGAAGGTGCAATCAAGCAAAATGATAGAATCGATAATATTGGGCTATGAAGTGATATAATTTGGGCTTCAATCCAAAGAGCAACTCAGCAGGTGGTTGTTAAACCGAAACTCCCCTGAGCATCTCAAGTCTCAACATTCGTCAGCGTATGTTCTTTGGGCATTTGGATGCCAATAGGCCCATTATACATTCCAAAGATTTTGTCCCCTGAGTGTCTTCGCATTTGAACGGCTGTGCAAGTTGTAAAGGAAGGCGATGCTTCATTCATCTGGTAAGGTGTGATTTTGCGGACCCATTTTAGTCCTTTGAATAAATCGAATTAAGATGAAAACGTACAATTTGCTCTACGTCTAGACTCTCTCTATCGATCGAGGGATGGATCGACTCATATTCTTCTTAAATCCAAAAATAGAGACATGCCACCTATACAAAAACAGATCACCATTGCGGTTACCATTTTAAGCAAAAATAGAAATTTTAACTGGATGGATTAACATTATTCATAACCTAAATTAAAAAAAAAAAAAAAGGAACGTGAGAAACAAATAAGAAGCACAATAGAGTAAGAAGGAATAAATTACATGATACGAGACGAGAGAGAACGTAAGTAACAAGTTCTGAATTTGAAATTTTTCACCTGCGCGGTAAAAGAAAAAAACAAAAACCTAAAAAAGCACAAGAGCCGGTACAATTTTGCACGTGGCTATCTTTAACTTAGCTATTTCCTAAAGGAGACTTCCATTAGTTAGTGTAGGACGACTGACAAATGCAACCAGTACAGCTGTCGTCTGAGGGGGAGTCTTTATCCTGAAGCTGGGCTAGAAGGCCCAGAACTCGACAAATCTTTAATTTTTTTTAACCCACAATTAGCACGCCGCAAATGTGGTTCAGACATTGAGAATTGTCATCAGTTGGTATAATCAGGTAAGAATAGCGTCTCTCCTAAGTCAAAACGCAGTATTAATTGTCAATGTGTTTTTTTTAAAAAAAAAAAAAAAAAAAAAGTTTCCCTCTTTAGGTTATGAAACAAAATGATATTGCTTGTAAAATATCCTTTTTCAACGAGCATTGAGTTTCTTTTGTTTTCAATTTAGAAAATGATCATTCGATAATAAGATTCAGATGCACATGGCTGAACAAGAAACCCTCTCCCTCTCTCTAATTTTCTAGTTGCCGGAATCTTTTAATCTTTGACTATAAAGATGAATATACCCTCAAATCTATATTTGCAAATAACTCGATTTGCATTTGGTAAAGAAGAAACCTCAACAATTCTCTTTCTTTTTTTCTTTTTTTCAATTATTTCTCGAATAAGTTACAGGAGATCCTAAGATGGCAATCAATGAATGCCCTCAAATCACGATTTCTAAATCACTCGAAACACGCTTGCCATGGAAAACCATTGACTTGAGATTACATCCCCAGTCTAACTCTACCCGAGAAGCTTTATGGCGTAAATTGTACTAAAAAAAGACCAATGACCATGAGACTTCCTCCGTTATTAATTGCTTCCATGTGATTCACGCACCATACAACTGTCAAATGGCCATAACAATAGTATCATTTAATTTGTACGCTGGAAGTTTTTTTTTTTTTTTTTTTTTTTGTCCTTTTGGGGCACAGTTGAAGTAGTTAAAAACATTGAAAATCTGCAGCTTGATGAAAAAAAATAATTTTTTTTTTGCATGACTAGATAATTCCCGTTGTTTCTTCCCCCTTTTTCTTAACATAATAGGGTTAAAAATAAAAAAAAAAATATCCCTTGTGGTATATCTAATATACAGAAAAGCCCCCGTGGTTTCAAAACATACAAAACGACACTTTATGTTTTGAATTAAATTGTAAACTAACAGAATTCGTTAGTTTTAACGGAATCCGATAAATTTAATGAAAAACTTAATGGAATCTGGTAAACTTAACGAAATCCGACAAGTTTAACAGTCGAGACCGTCATTTTCGTTAAGTTTAACGAATTCTATTAGTTTACAATTTAGTTCAAACATGAGATATCGTTTTGTATGTTTTGAAACTATAGGAGATTTTTCTGTATATTAGATATATCACATGGAATTTTTTTGTTTTTAATCCAATATAATATGACAAAAAGGATATGAAGAAGTCTAAGGCACTGCATGCTAAGCAAGACTGGGACGTAGACTTTATGCATGTAATGTAATCCAGAAAGCATATACGTGGTGCGTTATACCATATGAAGATCTTAATCATAACGATCAACAATTATTTTGTTCTCGTTTTTCTTTTCCCCTCTTTTGCTTGAATACGACGAAAAAGGTTCGAAAACATTATACTACTTGGGGAAACAAATGGAGGACTCAGGACTGCTCATTTCTTTTCATGGGAATTGTCCTCCTTGTTTTCAACACGGCCATCTGTTCCGGCCATCATGGCATACTTGTCTTTCCTGGTCAAGCTAGTGCACTCGAAGCCTAGCGTGCCGGCGAGCACCCTTTGGATGTAGTTGGCAACTTCAATAGCAGATTTTCCACCACCTCGGCGAGTCAGTTCCGGGGGCAGTTGATTCAAGAAGGTGATCTCGTAGGTGGGCCTGGGATTCATGAAAACGAAGTAGGGATCCAAAAACTTGTGCCCACGCACAGTTGTCCCATAAAATACGGACTGTTTAGTGTTAATGGCGACGGGGACAATTCTGTCTGTCAACTCGGCAAAGAGTGCGCTAAATCTCAACAGAAATGGCTCCCTGCACGTAGTCCCCTCGGGGCAGATAACCAAGTCACCTTCTTGAAGCAAACGCTTGATGTTCTCTGCATCCCTTTCTCGTTCTCGAGATAATGCCACGGCTTTGATCGGTGAAATCAGTTCTGAGAATTTACTTATGCTGTATGTCACGCAACTGATCTTCCTTCTCAGTGCCACCGCCGTAACAACGGGGTCTAGGATCGTGCGGTGGTTGCAGACGAATAGGACCCCGCTATGGCCTTCCTTCGGAGGTGGGGGTGGGTTGCCCTTCACAACGAGTTTGATTCCCAGAATCATGTAGTTGTACCGAACAATTCTTTCGGGCAGGGGAATGTTGAGGTAAACACGAAGGATGGAGAGGACAATCCCAATCGGCATCCACAAGAAGGTCAACAGGGCCACAAGAGGTGTAGGCCTTTGTACCAGACGACCTTCGTGAAAAATGACTGGCCTTAGCAGCTTATTTCTTGGTAGGGGTTCGCATTTTGCTCCTGGTGCCATGTAACCTTCCTGCACGATCAGTAAAGACGTAATTCTTCATGCACAACCCAAACCCCCCCCCCCCCCCCAAAAAAAACTTTATGCATATATGTCAGTATTTGCATGGAAAACTGCCTGTCACCCATAAGCCAAAAAAAGAAGAAGAAGAAGAAGAAGAAGAACTGCCTATCACCAAATATTGCATTTATTATTCTTCCAAGTTTTGTTTTTTCGTGAATTTTATTTGAGATAAGACGGGAGTTTGTTACGAGAGTACAGTGCCGGCAGCTGTAACATTCTAATGAGAAGCGGATATCATATCTACTCTGGTACTTGGTAGCGTCCAAGCAATGAATAGCATTGACTCTTGCCAGATTGGACCTTCCTGGAACTTGCTATTTACTGAGAAAATGAAAGGCCCATGTCCTTTTTTTTCTTTCTCTCTCTCTCTCTCTCTCTATCTATATATATACACACACACACGTATAAAGTGCGAGAGGGGTTTGATTTTTTTTTAAAAAAAAAAAGTTTCATTTTTTTTGAATTACCAATTTTATCCTTATCATTTAGGGTAAAATGATCGCAATAATATTTACAATTAAAAACTTAGAACCACGCTGTCCTCTTCCCATGTCAATACAATTGCTTTGATTTGAATTCTCCATGTTTATCTAAACCTTGGTGCCGATATACTTGCCTTTGGTATTTATAGTTTTCCTAAAATATGCACACTCATATGCCTCACCCACTAGTATATATAAAGTATGAGGCATGATTTAGGTGTTAAAATATTTTATTTTTTTAAATTTTACTCTCATAAAAAATAAAAATATACTAAAGATAACTTCTAAACTCCATAACTTCCACTATTTTAACATTCAATAACTTCTTTTTTTTTTTACAACAAAAAAAATTCTAATAACTTTCATTTGTTTGAATAAAAAAAACATAATCTGCATACTCATAGGGTGCGTGCATCTCCCATTAGTATTTAATATTTGAGTTTATCTACAAAAACAATTAAA